AGTTGTTGTGCTCAACTTCTTTGGATGAAGCAAACCTTGAGAGACTATGGCCTAAATGTGTCCAAAATCCCACTCTTGTGTGACAATGAGAGCGCCATTAAGTTAGCCAATAACCCCGTCCAACATTCCCGAACCAAACATATAGATATTCGCCACCATTTCTTGAGAGACCATTCCACAAGAGGCGACATAGATATCCAACATGTGAGAACCGACAAACAATTGGCGGATATCTTCACCAAGTCTCTAGATGAAGCTAGGTTTTGTGAGTTGAGAAGTGAGCTAAACATCTTGGATTCTCGGAATGTGGCTTGATCTTTTGCATGCATTTGTTTTTCATTTACTAGAATAGGTTTGCTTGCTACATCATGACAAAGTGAACATTCAATTCATGAATAAACACTAGTCATAATCTATGTGGATAACTTGAATCTATGTGTACGGGGATCTCATTCTCTAATGAATCTTGGTCCTTGCACAATTTGCTATAGATTCGTACATTCCCTCTCTCGAGGGTGCCTAGTTTTTCTTTCTTTTGCTGCATTTGTCCAAGTAATAGTCTAGCCATCGAGTTCATCCTATCAAAATGTTGTTGAAAAATTCTTCCTTGAGCCATCCTTTATTGTCTCTGCCACAAAGGATGTCGGACTGTCTGACATCAAGTCAGACTATCCGACCATAATCGGACAGTCCGATTTCAAATCGGACTATTCGACGTGGGGCCAAGGGCAAGGGGACTTAACCTCCCTAGGGGTAACTCTTTCTTACCCCTTCAGTCATTTGTCTCAGTCGTTTCTCTCTCCACCCCTCTTCTCCACTCCAAACCCTAGTTCTAGGCCACCAAAAATCTTCGTTTCGGAGTCTCCGATTGCTATTCCTTCGCTTTAGGGTGGTTTCCCTCCCTCAACTCCTTCCAAATCACTGGTTCCCCAGTGATTCTCTTGGTGGTTCTTGAGGTATTTCCTTGTTTTTCCTCGATCTCCCTCATGATGTATTATTTCAAGATTTCCTTCGGCGAATCTTCTTGTTTTAGTGTCTAGATCTAGTACCTACAAGATCCTTTGATTCTATTGGATATTCTTGTGTGAATCGAGATTTGTTGGTCTAGGGCAAAAGGTCGTCGGATTGTCTGATATGCCGTCGGATAGTCCGATGTACATCGGATAGTCCGACGTCAAATCAGACTATCCGACCTTCTTTTGGCCCAGTCCAAATTTCTCCTTGCTTCACATTTAAGTATTCTTCTTCCACTTCTTCTTAATCTTTATCCTCTGTTCTAAATCAGTGTATCCTCATGATCAGGGGTCAGTTCAAGAATCAACTTTACTCTCGCCGTGGGTCAATGAGTTCTCAAGGTCGCTCTCCCTCTTCCAAGGCTCGTCATGCTATACGGCGTATGTCCGAATCCCGCAAAGATGCCATTGACGCGCAAGCTCAAGCCTCTGACCAAGCAGCTCAAGTGGCTAATGTGGAGTGTGGTGCTCCTCTTCCTCTTCGCCGCAGCCGAGTCAGTGGAGAAGGATCAAGTGCACCTGCTAGCAAAGTAAGGAGAGGCAATCCTACGGATTCTTCTGAGCCGGGTCACGGTAGTGGTTCTCATGCACCATCCTTTGAGGAAGAGATTCAGTTAGAAGAGGACATTGCCGCTCAGCAAGCTGCTCAGGAAGAAGGGCCTTTCTTTATCACTGCTCCCTCTAGAGATCCTAATTATCATCGAAGAGTCGTAAGGTGGAACCGCAAGTGGACTGAAGTGGAGAAAGAGTGTAAGAAAGATCCCTACAAATTTCAACAGTTGTCCACTGATCCTCGGTTTTGGAACCTTTTTCAGCAGGATTACTATGAGATAGTGATTGCACCTAAGAAGGGGGCTATTCTTATGCAGTGGGTTGATTGGAAGTATATGGAGGAGTTGCATGATCCAATTATTGATGAAGTCATTGAAGCTTGTGCTCGGCAAAACTTGAAGGAACTCATGGGCTTGCAATACCCATGGTGCAAGGAAATCATCGCACAATTCTATGCCACAGTTTACTTTGAGCCCAACAAAGAAAAGACTATTCATTGGATGATAGATGGCATCATATACTCAGTGTCATATGCCAAGTTTGCTGCCATTTTGGGGTTTCCGGCTCCAATCGTGTCAAGATTCATGATGAGAAGCCCATGGACACAAATTCTCTTCACTTCTTGTACCAAGATGTGGACTATGAGTTAGGCACCATCAAAGGTCTCCTTCCCTTCTATGCCTATCTCAATAAGCTCTTGCGCAAAACTCTTAATCCCAAGGAAGGTGATGCTAGCAACGTCCTTGCCTATACAAGAAATTTGCTTTACAAGATGAAGGCTCACCCACAGCTCTTTGACGCCTTTGACTTCATCTTTGAAGAAATCCGGCTTATCTCTATGATGCCTAAGCGAGGACTTAGCTATGGGCCTTACATTACGAAGATGATTGAGATTGTGTCCAAGAAGAAGTTTCACAAGGAGGTGGCACATACCGGTTACCAAGTCCGTCCCATCAAGGCTGCTGTTGTGCCGGCTGGACGAACCACTCGTGCTTCTTCTCGTGCCGGTCACTCCGCTACCGTCACCAAGCCGGACTCCAACTCGTCCTTGAGGTTCTTCAAGTCCATCTTCAACTTATGCAAGACCATCTCAGTTCGGCAAGCCAAGGAACGCAGAGCAAGGAAGAAGGACACTCGACGGCTCAAGAACCTCCTTCGCAACGCCCATTTGCCGTGTTCTCCCGATGGTTCTGAGGTTGAGGACAGTGGGGAGGATGTGATTGAGGACCCTTTTGCAGCTGAGGCAAGCTCCTCTCATGCGGATCGTGGCAAGGCTCCTATGGAGGAAGAAGAAGAGGAGAAGGAAGGTAATCTATCTCCTTTCGTGATGGCTAGTCGAATCTTGGGCTTTTGTGTCTTGTTATGTGCAATTATCTATTATCCATGCTCAAATGTGTGAAATATCTTGTCATTGGCATATGCATGAGGTTATATTGTCATTTCTAATCTAGTGCATAGATTGAGGGGGAGCTCTCCTATTTCATTTCTAGCATATCTTTAGGGGGAGCTCCACCAAAATCCTAATCTTTTATTACTTCTAAGTGTGTTGTCATCAATCACCAAAAAGGGGAGATTGAAAGTGCATCTAGGACCCCTCATTTATTTTGGTGTTAATGACAACACAATTAGAGGGTAACTAATGCTTTTTGTTGAGATGTATGCAAGGATGAAAAAGGAGTGGATGTCAACACAATAAGTATTGCGGCATCTTTTGTGGTAATTGTCTTCTAATCCATGTATATCTTGTGTTCTTGAGTATTAGGATGTCATACTATTAAGAGGGATGCCACATGCATATAATTGGTAGAACACTAGTGCTCAAAATCATTTATTTGAAGTGTTCCTGTTTTATGTCTGTCGGACTATCCGATGCTCAGACTATCCGAAATTTCACAGAACTTTGCTCACTGTCTTGGGTCTGAGTGTTGGCTAAAAAATATCGGACTATCCGATATAAGGTCGGACTATCCGATACGTCGGACTATCTGAAATTTCTCAAAACTTCACTCTCTGTTTTGAATTGCTTTTTATTCCTTTTGAGTGAGTTTTAAATCAGACTATCCGATGTGATCGGAGTATCCGATGATCCAGAGACTCCGAAATTCAATGGAACTTGAGTCTCTGTGAGAGGATGAAATTCTTGGTTCAAAAATAACGGAATATCCGATATGACATCGGACTATCCGATCGATCGGATTGTCCAAAATTCTCCAGAATTTCGTTCTCTGTCTCTGGCCTGCTTGGGGGGTCAAAAACATCGGACTATCCGATGTCACTTCGGACTTTCCGAGGTGGGATGAAAAGATTCTCTCCCAACGGCCACATTTTGAGGGCTTCTATAAATACCCCCCACCTAACCCTTTTCTAGGGTTACCCAACTCATTTCATTCTCATTCACTTTGGGTTGAGCTTGGTGCTAAGGTGCTTTGGATCTTTGAGCTCTTTCTCCCTCTCTCAAATCCCTCCTTGTTCTTTGTGTGGTGGATCTTGGTGGTTGTGGATTTGGGGTTTGAGGGCCTAGTGTGTGTTTCACTCGATCTTGAGCACTAGGGTTGACCAAGAGTTGTGTGGTGTTTGTTACTCTTGGATGTTGAGGACTCCTAGACGGCTAGGTGTCACTCCCGAGCCACCGATCTACGTGTGGTTGGCCGGGAGAAGTTTGTGAAGGCCGGATCTCGCCTCCACAAGGAAAGAGATACCCTTTAGTGGAAGGAGGAGTGCTTAGTGCAACCTCTTGAGGAAAGGGTTAGCAAAGACCCGGCTCTTAGTGAGCTCCTCAACGGAGAGTAGAATCCCCTCAAGGATTTGAACTCCGGGAACAACTCGGTGAATTTCATTGTTGGTGATATCTCTTCTCCCATTATTTAGCTTTGCTTTTGTGCTGCTATAGATCTAGTCACTGTTTGCGCCATACTCTTGTTTGTGCACTAGATCTTCTTGTAGTGTTCTTTTAGTGGATCAGACAGTCTGATCCAACATCAGACTATCTGATATTTTCGGATAGTCTGACTGTGGATCAGACTTTCCGACCCTAACTCAGTTTTAGCTTCCGCATAAAGTTTTAAATTATCCTATTCACCCCCCCCCCCCTCTAGGCCTAATTGACCCTTTCACTACCACATCATCAAAACCATCCATCTATACCTCTGAAGGAACTAATTCAACCCGGTTTTGTAAGTTGGGTGGTCAAGATTTATGATATTGCGGTTAAAGAATGTGATTTAAACTCGACATTCAGATGAGGAGCATAAAGTGAACTTATTCCGCCTAACAAGTCCAATGGCATATCAAGCCCACCAACACACGTATCCAAGAAAAAAGCCCACCAACATAGCGGGATGGACCATCGCTCCTTCTGGGCTTATTGGGCTATACCCAATGGGCTCTTCTGGTCTGTAAGCCCATCAGCTACAAGAATCCAACCCCCATAGGCCTAAAGCCATGGAGGCTGGCCGCGGCCCACGCCAGTTTCGCCCACCAAGCACCGCCGCGGCCGCGGCCGCCTCCTCGGCGTCCCGCCGTTGCGCCGCGCGACGCCGGCGGGTAACCGGGCGCCCCGCCTCCCCGGAGATGATGGCCGAGGTGCGTACGCGATCCTTTCCAGAAGCTTCCGTTCCATCTGTGGAGTCCCACACCGCCCGCTCCATCCCATTTGGTACCCGCCGGCTCGCCGCCATTGTTGCCCCTAACTAAATCCGAGAACCGGGGGGATCATTCTGGAAGTCTTGGTCCTGCGTTGTCAGGGGTCATCAGCGACGCGGAGGCTGCGAAGAGGGGGATGATTATTGCAGGAGGGTGTGGTCGTGTGCGGTTTATCGATCTGCGGCGGTAAGTAGGTTAAATTTAGTACTAGGAAATTGGATTGCCTCATCCTGTGGTTGCATCATTGCCCCCTGGGAGGCTGGGAATTTTGCGCCTCTCTCATTTTACACTCAAGTGCCTGCGCACAAATCTTGTCAGGGAAAAGCTATAGTAAAATTCCATGTCGTTGGGTGCAAGGAAGAAGCAATAATCTATTTAGATTGATATGGCAGTGAAGCTTCTGATCTAGTTTATTAACTATAGTGTAATCTCTCTATGAATGGGTCTAAGTTGGAAGGTTTCAGTTGAAAATTGGAATATTCAAGTTGAAAGTTTTGAAGTTTGTGCTAGAAGCTATTTTTAGATACGGAAATCCATCGGTTGGCTAAATTAGTGAATATTCTGCTTCCTAAGTTGAAATAGGGATATTTAATAGTTTGAATGCTCAGTTTAAAGTGTTAAAGTTTGTTTTGCAAGCTCAGCTTACTAGCTGAAAGTTTCACATGTTATATAGCCTTATAGGTATTCTTTCAGTTCTTTAGAAATTTTCACTAGTTGGTAATAGTTCTCTTTTGGTATTGACATAATAGAACAATGATAATTCCTTCACTAAGTTGATTATTCTGATTCGCATTATATGTCATGGCAGTTTATTATTTAAGAGTAGTCTGAAGCTTTTGAAGTATTTCGAAATGAAATTGCAAATGCTCTATGCTTTGTTCTCTATCTGTTTTAACATTTCAGACTGAATTGCGTTTCTTAGGGCCTGTTTGGGGGAGCTTTAGATTCTGAGAAGCAGCTGTTTGGTAGCCAGCTTCTGAGAATCTGGAAAAGCTCTGAAACCCAGCTTCTCCAGCTTCTGGCATCTTAGTTCATTTTTCAGAATCTGTAACTACAGATTCTCAGAAGCTGTAACTGATAAGCAAGACATAGGCCCTGTAACTACAGATTCTCAGAAGCTGTGGACTGTTTGGGGCAGCTTCTAACAGAAGTAGCTTTTGGGAAAAGCTGCAGCTGGGAGAAGCTCCCCCAAACAGGGCCTATGTCTTGCTTATCAGTTCAGTTTGTTCTTCTCAATGTTTCCGGTTGCAGGTAATTTCTGGTTATGGCAGTTTAGTGTCATCATGATTACTGCCTACAGTGCACTTCAATATTTACCACTGCATGTCTTTCCTAATTCACACCAGTGGAAAAATAAATTTACCTATGATAAATTGATTAGTGAATTGAAATCTGGTGTCTATTTTTTAGTGTGGTTAATTTGATAGGCCTATCCTAATACATTGGGCCTATGTCTTTTTAATGAACAGGAATCTGGTATCCAAGTGTGCTTAATTAAACAAACCAATCCTAATACATTCCATTGATGACCCATTTACTCTTTCTGAAACTTTACTGGCACATATAAACACTTCATTTCATTTCCCCCACTTTTTACATCACCCTTCATGACCATGTTCTCATTCATACAACATCTTATTCTGTTGTATTATCTATTCTCAATATTGCTAATAAGTTCCTTCTTTTTTAAAATCTTCAGATTTAACTGAAAACAGCACCTGCTGACCTCTGCTTTCTGACAACAAACTAAAACCAGGCACTGTTTTACTGGCTATATTGAGTACCACATGTATAGTTTGCCACAGTGAGGCCTTAGCAGTTTCTCTGTGTTTCGTACTTCAACTTTTTTTATTTGAAAATAATATATGTCCTTACTTTCTTTTCTATAATGAAGTTTGTTGGCTTCAAGTGTTTTGAGTGCCAAAGGGGACGATACACTGGTGCCTCTGAGAAATTTGTGAAGTACTACAGATCACTTTACCATGGAGAATGGGTGAGTACACTGCTACCACTTGCCATTTTAAACTGTTGTGGCAAACGACAACTTATTCAGCTAGTATCAGGATAATCTCTTTTTTTTCACATGCATTATTTCTGAATGCAAAACATGTCAGATATCGACTTGGGTACACAATACCAATGATAAGGCCATGTAAAACTAACAAGCATAGTTGTTTCCACTTACCAATTAACACATGACTTGATATCAGAAATTTGTTAAAAAATAATGGTGTTTCCTTCTGTTGATCTTCATGTTATTCAGTTAGTGTGATGCTTAAGAGCGGATGTATTAGTGTCTTCTCAAAACTCTTTGTTGATTAAACCTCACTGGATGAATAGTTTGCTGGTGTCCGGTGGCTTAGGGCTACTTTGGTTTGCTACCATACCAAATTTTGCCCTACCAAAATTTGGTAGGGTAACAAATCAAGTACTGTTTAGTTTTAAAAAAAAATAAATCAAGTACTGCACTACCAAAACGTTGGGGTTTTGTTCACATAGTTGTCTCTCATAGTCACATTTTGGCATCAAATCAATTCTACTCTTCTCAACTTTCCTCTACCAAAAATTTGGTAGTCCCAAACTTGCCCAAGCATTGGGCTTTGCACTACTAAAAATTTTAGCAGGTCCTCAAACCAAACCAGCCATTAGTTTTCTGCAATCAGCATTCATTGACCTGGCCCGGACAGTTTTCTGCAATTAGTTTATCATCGTCAGCTATTTTTATCTCCTTGAAAATATTCTCCTCGGTGACTGTGTCTTTGCACCTTTAATAGTCAATGTGCGGGTATGTACTTGCACATGCGAATAGTGGCTTGAGCATGCACATCTAATATAGGCACTTACAGTGTACACATTTACCCTCTCTTCCTTTATTATTGACCTACGCATTCCTGTCCTTTTATTTTCTTCCCCATGCACATTAAAACTATGTAATGTAATGTCATTCTCCTAGAATATTACGATTTGATCATTTGAATAAACCAAGATGCCACACATCCGTCCTCCAGATTTCTTGATTGCAGTTGATTCACTAGTACTCGCGACCTTTTTTATCCTCCAATGCATTATTGAGTTCACCCCAAAAGAAAAAATTGCTGGGCATCATCCATGCCGATAACAGTTAACACATAGAGGAAAATCAAGTTAACAACTTTGCTGCTGAGCAGTCTGCAATTAATTGGTAATCAAACAGCGGTTTGATGATGGGAGAAAAAGAAAATGTTTGAAGGCTAGTAATGAATCTTTTTGCTTTTATTCCAGAAGCTAATACGAGGTAATGGTGAAACGTTTGTTTGTGTCCATTTATAGAAACTCATTTAAACAATGTTGACATGATAAATATTGGAAAAGATTCGAACATGCTCAGGAAATTGTATTAACTTTGACCAAGTGTTTCACTTTCCAGCATGAACACTGAAATTTTTGACATGACCTGTTTTCACTTAAAAAAACATATAACAGTCTAGCCTGAGAAAATCATGTTTTGTTGATCTGGTGTGCTTCTGACTGTGTTATTAAAACTGGAAGCAATATCTCTGAACTTTCAATTTGGTTTGTAAAGAATTTGACTGTTTACTGGAGGAGGTCGAGGAATGGGATGAATAAAGGTAGAAAAGGACGTGTCCCTTTCCCGGACCGCTGTAAACCTTACCCTCCCTGCATAATCAACTCGTTGATCAAGCTACACTGTTCCATTCTGGATTTAGTGCGTCGATGCTTTTGTCCTGTGTTCTTCATAGAGTCGCTGCAAAACTGTTAGTGATGCTTTCCTTTATGTTGGCCTAATAATTGGCTACAGTTACTTCACATGTGGTTTTCTTTGGACCTCACTTTATTCGCATATTGCTGAATTGCATTTGCATTATTTCAAGCGTGCAACTGTTTCATCCTGTACTATAACCCTTTATGTCATCAAGAAGCACTGTACTGTAATTGTTGGGAATTGTAGGACAATGATTACGTATTGTCTACTCTCTCCGTCCCAAAAAAGGCAAACTCTGAGTTTCCGTGCCAAAGTTTGACTGTCCGTTTTATATAAAAAAATTTTATAATTAGTATTTTCATTGTTGTTAGATGATAAAACATGATTAATACTTTATGCGTGACTTATCTTTTTAATTTTTTTTATAATTTTTTCAAATAAGACGAACGTTCAAACGTTAGACACGGAAACCAGGGTTTGTTTTTTTTTGGGACGGAGTGAGTATGAATGTAGTAGTGCACCATTGTATTCATCATGGTGAGTTTTGAAAACGAGCTTCTTGCTTGCTGTAAGTATAGATTTTCTTGAAAGAAAGAGTCGTACGTCTCCAATATATATAGAAAGTTTACGGATTCACGACTAGGGATGAGAAGGCTCCCGTGTGCCAGAAACACCTGGTAACATGCAAAAAACACACACGGTAACAAACATACAGCGGCTTCATTGATTTACCGTGCGCACTTCTTGGGTGTTCTATGATTTTGAACACGAGATGGCCAGAACCATCTATATATAGTGTTTAGATATAGCAGATTTCTATGGGTGTGTTTAGTTCACGTCAAAATTAGAAGTTTGGTTGAAATTAAAACGATGTGACAGAAAAGTTGGAAGTTTGTGTGAGTAAGAAAGTTTTGATGTGATGGAAAAGTTGAAAGTTTGAAGAAAAAGTGGGAACTAAACCAGGCCTATATATGGTGTTTGTAATTAATAATCACTTCATGCTGTTCTCCAATTCAATGAGCTGAGAGTTATGAATTTATACAAATGTCTCGTAGTTATAGGTGAAGATATCTATCTATCTTTTGGTGCATATATGCACAATCTTTTAGTTTGTGTAGTCAACAGTATGGAAAATATTTTCCCTTCCACGATAACATATGAGCAATGTCAGCTACCAAAGTGTTATATCCTGTTAAACTAAAGAGCCTTGTCAACTAGTATGGAGTATATCTGAAACTTAATTATCTGCTTACATTTAAATTACAACTTCAAATTAAGACGTTGCTGATTGAGAAACACCTGGCAAATCAATAGGGAATATTAAGGTTGTTTTCCTTTGAGGGGGACGTTGGGAACTCTTCCTTCTCAGCACTTAAAACGAAACGATAGATTAGCACATAATTAATTAAGTGTTAGCTAAAAACTTAAAAATGGATTAATATGATTTTGAAAAAGTCCAAATACACCCTACATTTTAGATGAAAGTTTATTTAGCACTTTGGACTTTGAAACCGGACATTCAACCCCCTAAATTTTACAATATTGTACCATTTATATAACCTCCTAATTAAGATGGTTTTGCATAGTGGTTTTTATCTAATTTGCATATAAATTGGATAAATTGGATGAGTTTGATCACATGGCATAGACATTATATATTGGACACATATATTAAAATCTCCACTATTTTTTTTCCTTTTACCCATTTTAGAAAATTTTGTATAAAACTTACTATTTAGCAGTTTGAGAAGCATGCACGTAAAAATGAAGGAGTAGAAGTTTTAAGGACAAATGTTACAACTCACAGAAAATTTATCATTAGTTTCTTTAAACATACTTTGGATTTTGATTTCACATTTCAAGATGGTGTAGAGCACCATAATCTGAATAATCTCAAATGTTACAACTCATGTGTTGATTCATATTTGATGTACAAACCAATATGCTACTTTCTCTATCTTGAAATACTTGTCATTTTAGGCAGTTTAGCATGTATTAAAGTTTAAGAAAAAATAACATAGTCTCCCTCATTAAATGATAATACAGTATATGGTTATTAGAAGTGGTGTGGTAGTTAGAGGTATAATAGTGAGAAATTTGAATGGAAGATGATTGGATAAGAAGTATTTTAAAATAAATCTTGAATGTTAGAAAGATAACTATTTTAGAATGGAGAAAGTATGTTTTTGGGCGGTGGTCATGTGTTAGCTTTAATTTATCTTCTCGATCAATTCATGTATGGATAGATAACTTACGGCAAATTTTGCTACAGGACATCACGACTTTGCGGTTTTAGCCCACGGACACCGCACGAAGTGACTTTTGGGAAAGACATTCTCAAAAGTTGGATATTTGCTGGTGGACACCGCACCCATTAAAATAATAATTTTCAGGTGAGGAGGAGAGAGAAATCGCGTGAAATGTCAAAAGTGCCCTTGGGCCCACATGTCAGATCTGCTATTCCTCTTTCTCAGACAGTAGCAACAGGGAACGGCCGTGGCGCCGACGGCGGAGGAGGCCATCACGCACGCCACGTACGGCCGCTGCTACTACTCCAGCCGCGTCGTGTTCCGCATGCAGGCCCGCCTCATGGCGTTCGCCTCCGAGGCCTTCCGCAAGGTGCTCATCCCGGGATATAGGTAAACTCCACGAACAACCCAAAAACTTCCAAACGATTAGCCATTCTCGCCGAAATTGAGCTCGTGGTTGGCGCCGGAATTCAATCGAACAGGTTCCTGCCAACCAAGAACAGGATGTCATGGGGCATGGACAGGGAGATCAAGCGCGGCCTGGTCCGGCTCATCGGCCGACGCAGTGGCGGCGACAGCGGCGAGGAAGACGAGACCACCACTGAGCTCAAAGACAAGCAGGACAACGGCTTCAACACCCGGGCCATTGTGCTGCTCGCCGTGCACCCAGACTGGCAGGACCGCACCCGTGGCTCTCTCCAAGGCGGAGCAGTGGGGGGTTTCCGTCCGCTCGGGCGACACAGCAGGTGTCGCTGCGGCGTCCCTGCACGCGTTCCTCCTCGCCGCGGCCTCCGCTCGGGCAACGCGGCGGCCATCCCCGCACGCGTTACTCCTCGTCGCCTTCGCAGCGAAGGTGGCGCTTTGGCTAGAGTGTGAGAGGGAGTTTGTTGAGGGAGAAAGAATATGACAAGTGGGCCCAGGGGTATTTTAGACCTTTTACAGTGTTCATCTCTCCTATTGACCCAAAAATTAATATTTTAATGTATGCGGTGTCCATCGGCAAATAACCACATTTTAAGAGTGTCTTCCCCCAAAAGTGACTTCGTGCGGTGTCCGTGGCTAAAACCGCAAAGTCGCGATGTCTTGTAGCAAAATTTGCCATAACTTAGGGGTTATCTAGATCTAGGGGTGTAAAGTTTTGGCGTGTCACATCGAATATTATATAGCATATCGCATGGGGTGTTTGGGCACTAATAAGAAAACTAATTACATAATCCGTCAGTAAACCACAAGATAAATATATTAAGCCTAATTAATACATCATTAGCAAATGTTTACTAGCGCAACATTGTCAAATCATAAAGCAATTAGATTTAAAAGATTCGGTTCGCAAATTAGTCGCAATCTTTACAATTAGTTAATTTTTTAGCTTTAATTTAATATTATATATAGGTGTTCAAACGATTGATGTGACATGATGTAAAGTTTAGAATGAGAAGGACCTCAATTTATTTTGAGAATGATTATCCTCGTGCGGAAGAGCAAGGAGCACTGGAGCAGTAGAAGGCACTTTACAGAAACCCTATATGTTGACCAAGGCATTCTCAAGCAGGTGCATTTATTTGTCGGCATATGCTACGTACTACCTCCGTCCCATATAACTTGTCTTTTTGAATTTTTGTTTGTCAATGTTTGATCATTCGTCTTATTCAAAAAATTTTAGAATTATTATTTATTTTGTTTATCATTTGCTTTATTATCAAAAGTACTTTATATATGACTTATCTTTTTTTATATTTACACTAATTTTTCAAATAAAACGAATGGTCAAACGTTACAAATAAAAAGTCAAAAACGTCACCTATTATAGGACGGAGGGAGTACCCCAATTGTTCGAAATCCAATGCGATGAGATGAGATACCCTGTTCATCTATGATCTATCGCTGGAGGGAACTGTAGGATACCGAATCTTTCGTTGCTAGCTAGCCGTCGGGCCGTCCGTCCGGTGCAAACGCTGTAGGCTGTAGCAGGGTGACATCCCCCGGTTTCTCTCTTTTTCATCTCATGCATATGCCGCAGCGATGGTGCATGCATGCAGGCCGGCTAGCTAGCTTGTCAACAATCGTCAATCCTACTGTTATAGTGCGTTGCTAACCTAAACGCACCGGCCACACACAGACAACGGGCCCTCTCGAGTGGCAAGTGGCGCGCCGCGCGTCGACGACTAAGCTTGTCACCATGTGCGTGCCGTCGCCGCGCGCGCATGCATGCCGCCCGGGGGGCCATGGCAGCGTATCGGACGATCTATCATATGGGAGCGGATCCAAGAAGAAATAGTAGAAGAGGACTGAACAAACTGTATAATGAAGACGCTCGATTGCGAGAATCGAATCCAACCCAAGAAAAAGTAGTAAGAGAACTGAACAAACTATATAAATGCGCTCGATCGCCAGAATCGAATCCAAGAAAAAAAAGAGCAAGAGAACTGAACAAACTATATAAAGACGCTTGACCACCAGAATATATCGAACCTAAGCAAAATAGTAACGGTGATCTGAATAAACTATATAAAGCTACAAGCCCTCGAAAATTTTAAAAGAGCCCAGTCCCATGATCCCGCCATCACGGGTAGTGGGGGCTCGAGCACCCCGGGCATCCCCACGACAGATCGGCCCCTGTTGATCATCGATCGAGCTATCGATATGCAAGTGGCCGCGAGGCGTACGGCCGGACTGGTGATGACGTCGTCGGCTCGTCGCCGCGCGCGCGCGCCGCGGCGCGACGATAATCGATATTGGTCAGCTTAGCTATACGCAGGATCGATCGATCGATCGATCTGTGTCGCGCGCACGTACGGTGTGTCGGCCGGGCAGGGAGCAGGAGGGCCGGGCGCGCGGCGAGCCGCGCGAGAGCGTTTCGGATGGATCCGATCGCCCCCGGCCTGCCGCGCGCCACCGATCGATCAGCCGGCGGCGCGCCCGGGAAGGGATGGCTGCTGCTGGCGCCGTGTCGCGCGCGTACGTACGTGCGTTCTGCGTTCAGTTGTGGGTGTCGCGCGGCGCCCGCGCGCCTGCGCATCCGCGATGAAATCGCACGTACGTAGCGTGGTACGACGCGCGGGGATTTGAATGCGGGGTTAATTCGCGATCGGTGTCGGGCCGGTATATGTTAATTTGTGTGGGCAGACGCGGTAATATAACGCTACTACCCCGCATCTACCGTATATATATACGACCGGTAGATGTATGCAGTTCGATCGTAGGACCACACCCACGTACGTGTACGTGCATATATACTCGATGGAGGGTCCTGGATGTTTCAGTGCACGTAAATAGTGTCCGTGCAGACTGCAGAGCCAGCGCGACCAGTGAAAATTCGTTCATTTTTTTTGTGTGTTGAAACGACGGCTGTGTTCGCGGTT